TATATATATATAGAGAGAGAGAGAGAGAGAGAGAGGTTGCAGCCTTTTGTCGAGCAAAACTTGATCTTCTTCTTTGCAAAGGAAGAAGACGGGAAAAAGTTGAGTGGCAGGACTTTTTGAGTAAAAGATCGGAAAAGTTAAGAGAGAAATTGCGGTTTGGAGAGAGGGAGGAGGAAAGCAGTGGGAGGGAAGGGAAAAAGGCGGGATGCGTGTCATAAATCTATTCTTTTTCTTAAATTTGCAGCTTTTATATGGCTGCTTTAAGTCTCATTTAAGTACTCTAAAAATTTCATTTTACTGAAGGGAGAGTTAGGAAAAACGTGTACAATGTGGGTAACTGCAACCAGAAGAACAGACAGAAATTTGAGCGATTTACATCAAAACAAATAGAGCAACAAACATTTCTGTTCAGAGAAGGTCAGTATTAGTTGTTTCTACATAGAAGTTATGAGGATTTGCTGAAATTTGGAAGAGAAAGGCGTTAAAAAATGGAAAAAATTTCTGTTTTGGAAATTTTGTTATCGTATTAACGTAGAATTGCTTAAATAAATAGTGAAACCTATACCTATTTATAATAAAAACTACTTCTCAGACGCTGTCGTCGTGTAGTGCGGCCGAGGAAGTAAGTAAGAAAGTAAGAAAGCCAAAAGAAAAGTGAATCTCTGAGAACGGAAAATAAGAAAAAAGAGGAGAATTCACTGGTTAAATATATATAAAATACATCTACATAAAAAATATATCTTTTATACAGGGTGTTTTGTCAACAGAGTAATATATACAACTCAGGAGTATGCAGTAGAAGACAATTGAGTACTGTGGCTGTGATTATTCTTCGCCGCTTCTCAGTTATCCCTAAGCTTGTTATGCACATTAGAGTTGCTCAGAGCAAGAACTACAAAATACAATTGTTGATTTTGTTGATGCTCCGGTTCTGGCTACTGTTGGTGCTTTTTTTTTTTTTTTTTGTTTCTTAAGTGCACGGTGAACGTATTCCGCAAAAAGCTTTTTTCCCCGTTTTATTCAGATTTTTTTCAGGACAAATTAATGTATTCCCAATTCATTCTTTATACCATTACTCTAAGTAAAGCGAATAGATGATAATTCTTGCATATTGAATAACTGAAGAAATACCATTCGCTTTAAAAAGGAATAATTAGATGGAAAAGATTTTAGATCTGGCAGATTATACAGAATATTTGTTCTCGTGAAGGAGTTCTATCTTCATTATTATCTTCTTTGTCATTTCCGTCATCACTACAAATATTGGGTTTCAGTAGATGTCTTAGGTAATTAGTATGGCTTTGATCAACGCTGCCCTAACACTGTTTTTTTTTTTTTTTTTTTT